GTTATGTTACTATGTAGATAAATATTTATAAAAAAATATTACTAAATCTAATTTTAATGTATATTTAGTACTATTTACATTTACAACATACATATCTATATATGTAAAGATAAAGTTAATCTGCATAATATAAAGAAAGATATGAGTAATAAAAGATAACGGTGCGTCTGTCTGTCTATCGTACGTCTACGTTTCGATTGTAACCGGCTTCCCTGAATACATGTTTATATTTAAATATTTAATCATTCTACACTGATATTGTCACTTCTTAATCTGTACATACAGATAACATAAGTAAATATGTATATTTAATCGGCATAGCATGTCTTTTGACTTCACTCGCAAAATTAGTATTTATTTATTTATTTATCATTTCATGTACACCATACAGTCGACAATATTATAGAGGACAACACATCAAAATCATGAGGTACATTAGTACCTATATTAAAATACTTAATTAAAATTTTTACTTTTAATGAAAGAAAACATTAAATTACGACATTTATCAGGATCATCAATATCAATATCCTGTAGTCCACTGCTGACCGAAAACCTCACCGAGAAGGTTTGAGCATTAATCACCACGCTTCCTCAAGGCGATTACGGCACTCACTATCACATTATTCTGGTTATCAGCAAGTGACGGGAATGTAAGGAAAACCCCGCAGTAAAAAATATAGGTATCAAATGTAAAAAAGCAAAAAAGGTTTCCACTTAAAATTGTAAAAGCATTGTGATAAAATTCTAAAGCATAGTGATTAGAAGACTGTGAAGAACATGAAAGGGAGACATCAAAGAAAACTCTGGTCTCAAATTATGACAAAGAATGGCTTTAAGAAAGAAATAATTATAACACCCACTCATCTGAACATAAACCAACGATCGTTCCTAAAAAAAGAATTCAACACTCAAAAATAAAAATTAAATACGTTTAAAAAACCTACTCAAACCTTGTTTTTATGGCATTAGGCCGTAAACGAGCAGACGGGTCACCTGATGGTAAGCAATCGGCGTCGCCCATGGACACGTGGAACACCAGAGGCGTTACAAGTGCGTTACCGGCCTTTTGGGGATTAGGAGTTTGAGGATCGTTGGGGATTCAGGGATTGGGGAGATTGGGGAAGAGGAGGGTAATTGGGCCTCCGGTAACCTCACTCACACGATGGAACACAACGCAAGCGTTGCTTCACGTCAGTTTTCTATGAGGCCGTGTTATCACTCCGGTCGAGCCGGCCCATTCGTGCCGAAGCATGGCTCTCCCACACTTGAATTCGGTTTTCTTTTGAAGTCGGTTAATATACAAAAACCTGCATCTATGGTAACAAAACCTTTCCTTAAAGCGCATCAAAACCGGTTCAGCCAACCGCGAGATAATCAGAAAGATACATACAGGATTACAGGTCAAACTCAAACTGAGAACTGACATTTTTGAAGTCGGTTAAAAAAGAAATACACGCGATCACAATGCAACATCGTGCCAGCCATAAAATGTCATATACTTAGAAAAGTAAAGACTACAACAAAATCACTTTACGACCATAGATTACGAATAGACGGCGACCATGACCGATTACTGGCCGACTTACGGAAGGCTTATCAACTAGTTTTACGATCTGCTGAGAATAATGAAAACTCTTGATTTTTTTTTACTTTAATTACCTAGGTACCATTTTGTTTTACTGTAACACAAAATGGAATGGTTATTTTATCGATTACCTACTGAATTCATTGTGAAGGAATGAATTGCATAGAAAAGGTCGACCAAAGGAAAAATGGGTGGATTGTGTGAAGGTATGAAGTGATCACTATGGAAGTTATCGAGCGAAGAATTGAATGAGAAAGAGAGATTTGAATGGAAAAGGAGGACCAAAGAAGTGTGTAAAGATTTATTTGAATATGAATGGTTGATGTCTGCATACAAGTAAAAGAGGAAGCCAGGTTGTGGGGACCACAAATCAGTCAAGAAGAAGAAAAACTGCAGAATCACGTACTGCGAGGACTTTAGAAAAGTGCACTATTGACGTATCTAAAATGGCTTTTCATTGGATTTGAAAGCAAACGTAATTAATTGTCAATCAAACAGCTGACAGATTTTAATGACCAATACTGTTTGAGTTTATAACGCAGCTATTTTTGGACATTTTTGTAGTTATAAACTAGCTATTGAGAAGGAGAAACAAGACCATTTCATCCTAAAAAGTATTTAGGTACAAAGTTGGTGAACATTTCAGAAGCCTTAGTACGAGTTTAATTTACGTTTAAAATATTCGTAACGAGTACGCGTTCGGCACTCTGATTGGCCGGCGCCAATGAACCAACCAATCAGAGCGCCGACCGCGTACTCGTTACGATTACTGTAAACGTAAAACAAACTCGTACTAAGGCCTCTGAAGGTTTAACCGCTTGAATGCCTGTACCTATATTAGACACAAGAGAAAATACATTGTGTCTCTCGTGGATCCACGTTTAGATAAACGACGGGTTAAGATCAACGAACTTCTGTCAGTTGATCGTGATAGCACACATTTACTAGACATACTTACTAACTATATAGATGCAAATTTTAAAAGCAAACAACATGTGCTAGGCTTCTAATTCACATACAATTTTCACTATAGAAACACGAGGCATGAGTAACATATTATTTCCTGGTTGTCTACTTCTTAAAATTACTAAGTTGACGGGTAAGACTAAGATCTAATTTTTGTCAGCAAATTTTAAACGGTTTTTCAAAAGGGTTTCGGAAATATTGCTTAGTAATACCAGTAATACCAGTTAACAGACGAAGACTCCCAACAACCTAGCACACCATCAACCTGCCACATCTAAAAAAAAAGCCGTAATTTATTCTTTATGGATTAATTCTACTATTACAGACTGAAATCAAATCAGCTAACAATAATGGCCCTAGCGTCGTCTATCCCACTAATCCGATGATGCGAGGCCAATAAATTGGATCAACTCCGCCTACTTTGACGGTCTGTGCTCCTAGTATGACTCACAGTTTTTGCCTAATCTTGTCATCGACTTGTTTGATATATGACAAATTAGACACTGACATACAATACTGCTCTAATCTAGTGAATTCCTTAATAGATTCTTAACCTGTAACCTTAACCTATATAGATGAAAATCTATGAAAGAATTTTGACAGTTTATGATAATTTGATGAGACTATGTTAGCGGTCGTATGATTTGCCTGGAGGTAAGCGATGATGTGAAAATGCCTGCTTCAACCTATTCCCTTAGGACTTAGAAGACACTCAAGTTGTACCACAATAAATTGGTTAGGTATACTCTTTTAGAAACATAGATTGTGGCAAGGATTTTTCAAGGAAGGAAGGAATGATCGGATTCTACGTCTGGGGTATTTCAGGATTAGATGACTAACTTTAGAAAAAATCTGAGAACTTAATACAGTCTCATCATCATCATCAGCCTGTTTTCGTCCACTGCTGGACATAAGCCTCTCCAATGGCACGCCACTGAGCTCGGTCTTCAGCTCTACGCATCCAACCACTACCAGCCACTTTACGTATATCGTCACTCCACCTAGCTGGAGGGCGCCCTACACTACGTTTGCCTAGACGCGGTCTCCACTCAAATGTGACCGGCCCACTGCCATTTCAGCTTGCTAATCCTATGGGCTACATCGGTAACTTTAGTTCTCTGTCGGATCACCTCGTTACGGATCCTATCCTTCAGAGATACTCCGAGCATAGCCCTCTCCATAGCTCGCTGCGCTACCTTAAATTGGTGGACCAGTCGCAGTAATACAGTAATACAGTAATACAGTCTAATCTAGACAAATGAATGATTGGTTCTCTCACGGTCTCTTATTACATCTAGCTAACGATACAAAAGACAAAAACTGTCGATTCTATAGACTATTGTATAATAATTCTTACAAAAGCAAAAAATAATGAATTAATTACAATGTAGTGACTGAGATCATCGAGTTTATAATTAAATACCTAATCAATAGTGTCTCGTTTTAAAATGGATAACAATAACTAATTGAAACATCTTGATCAGAACAAATGTATAGAATAAGGTAATTGGTATTATAATTTGATGTAAACTGTAAATAGATACCAATAGTTAGTTTTCATTAATGACTAAAGGAAAAGAGAATAGTAAAATTTTCTTTTCGGGATTTTCATTGATCATTTCTTTTTTTTCGTCATTAGCTTTTAGGCAAAGCTTGAGAAAATTGGTAAAATATTTGTAATTTGTAATTGTTTCTAGTTCCTGCTTCCTCCACAAATGTAGGCGGGGTTTACCGTGATCCATTTATCGTGTTAAGGAAATTTTGCATTGGAAAGGCCAATATTTTACTATCACATTCGTTCAATCTTAGAAATGTAATAAAATAATTTCGGAAACATGCTATCATATATTAGTCAGATTACCTATGGATAGGTTCAGACTGAAATACAGAACCGTTTCAGGTATATTCATCAACCTTTCATAGGTCACAGGGATAATCTACCGTATGCTAAGGTGTAGGTATATGTAGTACCCACATTTTGACAACATGGCATTCTTGTAATGAGCCATGGCCTACGAGACACGCAACGTGAACGTCAGTCAGACTGCCGGCTTCAGCCGCCGCCGGCCGCCGCACCGGCCAGACCGGGGTGGGGCGACCCGGCACGCATGCGCGCTTACACCGATCAAAAATCCATTCCACCCATTCATTCCTCTTACGATTAGGTAACACGCTTCGCTTTGCCCTCCACTACCCACATGCTACCCTGGTCACACGCCTCTCAATTCCCCAGGCACTTGCAAATTCAACATTCTTATTCACAAAAAGATGTAAGAAAGTCCACGCCGCGTGTTACTAAATACACATCTATCAATCACCAGTCTGTAGCACGGCGCAAGGACACAACCGAAGTTAATTTAGAGTCGAACCGTAGCGGCCGCCGGCGAGTAAACATTGCTATGCAGATCTTACGTAAGCTAACAGCTGTAAGTATCGATCTACTCACCATATCATTGTTCTCCACCAGCCAGTTCACCGAACATATTTGGTACACGAAATACGCCCGCACAAGTTCGCTCGTCTTCTTACTTTTGAACGCATCTTTGGGGCTGTTGAAGTTAAGGTCGAGGTCGTCCCGCGACGGAGGCGAGGAGGACAGCACACGTACATTCCGGGGCGCGTTCACCGCAAGCCGTCTGAGCAGAGCCATGTTCCGAACTCTGCGAAATACAACACGTACACAACACGCGCCCGTCGTCCGCGACTGACAACTGACAACTGACACTGACGTCCGCTCAATACCGAGTCTCTGCGCGCGCACTCGATCCAATTTTAAATCCGCCGGAGCGTCGCGGAGGTGTGTCTTGGACGAGCGCCGCGATTGGACGACTGGGCTGGCCAGCACGCGAACCTGCCGTGACGCGACATTATAAACAGCATTGTGCGGTAACCTCAAACACCGTACCTCAAGGGCAAAGTAGAGCTACAAACAGCTAGCTATGTGCAGTCTCACTCACTTCCCCTAACGATGTTTGCAAAATATGCAATTCAATACAATAGCTTTGATTGAAATGTTGTGAATATTAGTGAAAAACCTGAAGTAAACCCGACCTCATGAAAATGTGGGGATTACATAACCAGCTGGGGCGAGGGGTTATGTAAAACGCTATTCAGAGTTCAAGAACCCGGGGCGACCTGTCGTCGGGTGCACAACATTCGTACTTGAGTTATTACTCATGCCTTTTATAACAAGCCAAGTGCGCACCAACCGACGGCTGGTACTGGTTTGTAGTCAGTTTGCAGACAACTCTTAGCCAATTACTTACTACTTGTTAACTTGTTAACTTTAGTGATAAAGTTTAACAAAGCTATAAACTTCATTCATACTTTGGATGCAGTTTATACAAGAATGTTATGTATGAACATATTTGGAATATTTTCAAATCAAACAGCTGTTGATATTTTTTGCAATGGTAACGGTATAAAAGAGTGCAATACACACATGTTTGATGCACAATAATTGGCATTCGGACTAACCACACATTGCCCTGAAATACTTGACTTTAAATAATGTGTATTATAGACACATTTACCCGAAACGTTCCTCGGTACTATTTCGAAGCATTTATTTCCAGCAATCATTCAGTTTTTCTCCTACTGACCACCATAAGCTCTGTAAAACACAGACAGCAAAAAATTACAACGGAAAAGGTTCAAGTACAATAAAAACTAATTACTGAGAAGATAATTTTCAAGTAAGAACACAAGTTAGGAAGGTCATTAAAGTGTCTAGCGATTAACTGTTCAATAAATTAAATGTTCAATCATCCGAAAAAGTAAAAAGATACTTACTTTGAAAAGGTATACACGGCTACACATCGAGCTTTACATAACCAGTATAAACTGAACGTTCAATGTGCGGAAAGATGATGCGACGCGACACCAGGATAAACTGGTTTTGTATAGATTGATGTGTGGCCGTGTGTACGCGTAATGGCGCTGTAGTCGTTTTAAGTCTCATAAACAGTTCTCAAAAAGAATGCGGTATTTTCCCATTAGTGAAATTCAATAACTATTGCGACTTATCAAAATGAGACTTATTTCTCTAAAAGTATCTTTATCATTTTAATATTTCATAGTACATACATAACCTCATGCCTGTGTCCTATATAATAGGGGTAAGCGAAGACTATGAAACGCTAATTGCTACGATTTTTACACCTCTTTCGCTTCATCAACAGTCTTTCGTGTATGCTCGTCGGTTATGGGTAGTTTTAATTTGGCCCTTCTTTAATATATCGCCAATATGTTCGATAATAAACATTTAACTTAGGTAATACTTTATTGTATTGTATAAACTTGATATCATTATGTACTTTTTCACTGAGTAAAATATTGCAATTCATCATCAATAAATACATACTTACTTACTCACCTATATTCCATTTTCCTTAATTTCTATGAATCGTCAGGAAAAAACACAATATAAATCATAATCATGTGAATCATTAGGTACTAGTACCAAACCATTACCTAAATATGATTCGTTAGCATTTCTGTGGTTAGAAGAGCGACTGATTTCATAAATAGACCACCACAGATGGGGCCCAATAGGGCTGTTGCCGATTCGGAGTCGCGAAGAACCTAACGGGTAACCGGGGCTCCGGCTCGACGTGCAGGAGAAGGAACGGGGTGGTTTTTAGTCAGTAAGAGTCTGACACTCCCTTCCGCCTCACCCAGGCGGGAGGAGTCATTCGATGATTTTCCCCCCTTAAAAAAAAAGCCAATTAATCTGAGAGCTTAAAGACGCCTGAAACATGAAGTCCCAAGTTTACGAAAAAGTGTTCACTCTTTTTTAACTGAAAACTGCGATATATACGTAACTATATAGTCTATATACTTTATCCAGTAACGTACGTAACCTACGTATACCTACGTAAGAGATAATTTTCAATAGCTGTACCACAGTTGTACCTATTGGTAAAGTAACACCATTATTTCTGACTAGCCTTATCCAACGGCTTCGCCCGCATTTTCCGTTGTTCCCGTGTTATTTCACACCATAATCTTCATCTATCCCAAATTTTAACCCGATCCCTTCTGCCATTTTGACGTGAAGGAGTAACAAACAAAGAAACATACAAACTTTCACACTTATAATATTAGTGTAGGATAGTAGGAGGCTAAGTGACCCTCGTCTGTAAGGGAGCACCAATAAATTTATATCCCTACACGTGCTCTCTGGGTGGTGCTAATCAGGTAACACTTTGGTAGTAGGTTAGACCACCCACCGAGCAAAAGCGTGTCGCCAAGCGGTCTAACCGTGTTCTGATGACGCCTTACGAGAGGATGGGTCGAGATCTTTGCGCTGTAGGCTGACCGGTCTGATGCGCGCTGGTGTAGCCGCACCGGGTGTAGAGTAGCGGGATCTGACGCACGGTGCACGACTGCAGATAGTTGGGGGCCCAGCTAGCGTGCTAGCCACACGTGAAAGGCTGCCCCGCCATCAAGCGAAAAATCCCTTGGCTACGGTTGGTGCCCGATGGACATCTGTGGGGGGTGTTACTGTCTCCAGACTAAAGTGTAGCTCTGCGGTGCGCGTCTAGTGGACGACTGTATGGAAGACAATTTTATTACCATCCCATACTCCTGTTTCTCTCAGAGACCCAGATTAAATGCCCGTCGGACCCAGGTATTACCCTGGAGCACAATTTTGTTTCGCATATGTACCTACACTGTCAACTACTTAGACATTCTTCATGAAACTATTACCAAACGGTAATGACGAAGCTATTATGATATCATATGACTATCAGTAATAGGACAGTTTCAAGTGCGTAATCATGTAAATCTCGGCTGATAACACGATCCCATTGAAGGACCCTTATCATGCCCAAATTCATATCTTTACAAGTACAAAAATGGACATTGATTATCTGATAATTGGGTTTTAATTTGATGAATATGAAATGTCGACCACTTTTGACAGGATTTATGCAGAAGTTTTTATCCCAAACAGCTAGATTAGTTAGAAAGTTAGATCTTTTTAAAAGCTTGGCTGCAGGTTTTGTGTAAAGGCAACCTGACTCCGGAACGATACAAGTCAGTGCTGACCCAAAATATTCGTGTGGGAATTTTGAGGTCAGCGCTAACTTCATGCCGCTGAACTGACTTCACATCAATTTACATTGTGTTTTCGATAGACCCAGAAGTCGACTAACAAGGCAGTCAAAATGTTATCTACCTATCTGTAGGTAAATAGGTACATAAAATTTGCAGAAAGTCTACGCTTACAGAAATGCAGTCGTCGTGCCAAAAGCAAAGGAGTCCGACCGGCGATCAATAGGTCGTAGGTTCATGCCCCGGCCCGTTGCCTTGGGGACAGAACACTATTATACAGACATTATACAATTAATATGTCTGCTGAACTTGTGGTAAATGCAACTAAGGAAATAATTATATTATTATTTTGGAACTGGATTGTCTTAAAACATTAATGGGTTACCGAGATATAAGAATTCTTCAAATTTTCGATGGCATAATTTTCACAATTTGTCTCAATTAAAAAATTGCAAGTGGGTAAATAATTTGATTAGGAAGTACCCCAGGGTGTTTCTTCAAAAAACTTTAACTTTTATTTAACAAATCATTATCCCCCCGCGTTGTTAAGGGTCGCTGTAACTTATTAGCATCTGTATTTTATTGGATTGGGTGAGAGCAGTGACATGGCTCAATTTTTTGAAACTAAACTTTGTATTTTAATCAGCAGAATTGTTAACTTTTTTTATGATATAAGCCGGTAAACGAGCAGACGGATCACCTGATGGTAAGCCATCGGCGTCGCCCATGGACACCTGGAACACCAGAGGCGTTACAAGTGCCTTACCGGCCTTTTGGGGATTAGGAGTTTGAGGATCATTTGGGATTCAGGGATTGGGGAAATTGGGGAAGGGGAGGGTAATTGGGCCTCCGGTAACGTCACTCACACACGAAACACAACGCAAGCGTTGCTTCACGTCGGTTTTCTGTGAGGCCGTGGTATCACTCGGGTTGAGCCGGCCCATTCGTGACGAAGCATGGCTCTCCCACACTTAACTTTGGCTTAAGGATAATGACGCCGTTAATTTGTTTGGAGAATCACCCACCCCATCGTAAATTTAACACTTATTAGCTACTTAGGTGTACCTACCTCCTACGTGCGTTTGAGCAGCTATTTACTACATAAATATGTTCGAAATAGAATTACTTACAAAAGTGACATTAGAATGAAATAAATCATGATTTGATTGTTATTATTGTGGATTACAATAAATAGATAGGTGTTTACTAAACTAAGCTGAATTAATCTGATTAGGTAAAGTACAGATTGACGCACCATGTAGTGTGTGCGTAACGCGTACGTCTATGGCATTGATTGGTATTTATTTTGTTGCTTTGATAGTGAATAATTAATAATACATTATTATTGACTTCCATAAATTTTTTTTTAATCTTTATTGATTATTGAGGATTTGTTCATATTACGAACATGTCATCCTCATAGGAACACTAGAAATATTAACATTGGAAACTTACAATCTACGTTTAATTCCTAAATGAACTAACTTGTAAATTATCTTAGCAGAATTAGATGTTGGAAAGGCTAGACTTGAATTACATATTCCAAAACTTCCATAATTAATTAGTTTAATAGTCAAAAATAAATAATTCTGACCTTTTAATAAAATATTACAAACAAGCTGACCCGGCAAACTTTGTATCGCTTAAGTTTTTTTTACTTTTTAAATATTCCCTAAACTTCCACGAACAGCCGTACTTGAGTT